ACATACAAACCAGCGTATTCTCCTCTCAGTCTGGTTCACAGAAAAAAGCTGAGCTACTTCAAAAAGACAAACACACACAAATACATATCTAGAACATACACATTATAGCCTGAGAGGAGGCAACCCAGCATAAAGTGACTTCCATGTCACCTGGAAGTCCATCATGATGTACAACCTACTGCCAAAGCTTCCTTACAATGCAAAATAATGCAAACATCACCTGGGTGAAACTTGCAGAGTTTACAAGTCAAAATAATGTTTTTTGGCTTACATGTGCACCCCTAAGTGAATGCCATATTAAGACATGAGAATGTATCAACAGTAATAGTAATGTTATACATACCGACTTTTACTTCGGTCTTTCTGGTACGTGCCACACAAACATTTCTAGACTTCACAGAATGGTATTCTTAATAGTATCAACAAGTGGGCTAAGTAAAATTTACCTGCAAACTGCTGCAGAGTTATAATAAATTACTCTCTTTCACATGCCCTCTTCAGTGATAAATAATAGATACAACTTCAGACTACTGCAACAGATTTTATGTGATAGAGGAAACAAATAACGTTGTAGTAACTAACCACAGGCAGTCCAAAATCCCTCCTCGACATCCCCAAACTAGATAAACATTTTGTCCTATTGTTTCACTGTTAAATTAAAGAAAAAAAAATTTGGTAATTTATAAATTGATTTACTTATTTCAAGCATGCAGAAAGTTCTAAGCTTTAAAAATAGACATTTTTGAGAAAGCATTAGCAATATAGACAAGGATCATACAAAGACATACCAAGTAAGCAAATGGCAACACACAGAATACTGTAAATAAAATGACTGAGCCTTAACCAAACTGGATCCTGACATCAGCTGAGTATGGAGGGGCACCATAATCCAGAGGAATTATTTTTTAGCTGACATTCATGTTAAATTATGCTAATTATTGTGATTATACTAACTATAGATGACAATCGAGAGCAAACAGGAAATGGCCAGGAAACAATGACTTATTTTTTTTTAAAAACTCTATTTGCATACATAAAATACAAAATCTTAAGTAGGATTTTTCAAGTCTGCAGTTTTGCTAAACAGCAAATAGAAGTCATAAATCATGTGGAGTAACTGCTGATTAAGTATTCAATGAAAATTATATGATATTCTTCTTGTGTGAATAATACAGAGTCAAACAAGGTGTTACGTTCACTCAGAGGTGTTTGGATACATCAACAAACCGTTCTGTGTAATCACTACGATAAAATAGTGTGAAATCCCATAGCACGGAAGAAAGGCAGGGACAGTGGGGAATGCCAATGCCTGCAGACGGCTGAGCTTTCCTTGGGTTCTCTGACCTTACCACCCCCTCTTACACACAAGTCACAGACAAGGTTTTCAACTACTTTAGCACCAAAGAACTGCAGGTTTTACAAGAAAGAATTCACAGAGACTAATTTTGTTAGCTAGTCTTCAATAAAACTTCAGGAAATTGTATCTTTATTATGGAGGAAACTTTGCCCAGACTAAGTGAATGCCATTAAGAGCAACCATCACTACAGAGGCAACTTGGCTGACATCAAGGTGAACGCTTTCATTTTTAGCAGAGATAAAACACAGAAACATAGGTCACAGAATGACTGAAATTTAGTCATGTGTTACACACCCAGCTAACAGACTATTATTTTAACTACTGCAAACAGCACCTTTTTTTTTTTTTTTTTTAAATCTAAGACTTAGACAATGAGATTTTTCAAATTATTTAAGACCTGGATATTTAAAAACAGAATACAGGCATGACTTGTTAGGAATACACACTAAGAAGCTACATTTCATGTATTTTAAAACCTTGAAAAATGCTAAAAGGCATTCTTTCTAAAGGCTTCTCTTTATTTTCATGTGCAAAATGGAAAAGTAATCAACATGCTAGGAAAACAACACTTTATCATCTTCATGAGTAACCTTTTTATGATTTTACCAAAGTTAAAATTCATATGGAACCATCCTAAAGCACTTTAAAATAAGACACAAGAAATTTTAAAAGACAGCTTAGCCAGCCAGCCTGGGTACCACAGTTCCCCACAGTTCCCCATTTGCTCCTCCCACTCAGAAACAACTCTCTCATAATTATAAGCAACTTGCCTATTGGAAATCCACGGGACACAAAGTCTGCCCAAAGAAGATCATATGCAAGTTCTAGTCTATGCGTTTTCATTGTATGGGGGGAAAAAAATGCCAAGCCAGAAAAAGTGTAGAAATATAAATGAAATAAAGGAATTGAAGCTAGTGATGTGGAAGATGTTAGAAAACAGGAGCATGACAAGCAAGATTAGCTATAAGTAATCTCTCCTGGTCTTGGAGTACATCTCTCTCCTACCACTTCTACCTGATAAGAATTCTGATCTAAGGCAAGCACATCAACTGAGATGATTCCACAGGAGTCAAAAGCGAGGTAAGCGGGGAGGGACAAAAAAAAGCAAGATAATTAGGGAGCAGCCGACAAAATTATAGAGTGATTATTAGACAATTACTCAGATAGATGAAGTTACACAAGATGCTATCACAATTATCACAAAGTTATCACAGTTACAGTTTTTACTCTAATCCTAAACATAAGTCCATTAGATGTTGGGAATTAAATTACTCCTGAAACCTGTTTATTTCAGTTATCTTAGTAGAAGGACATGAACATATGGTAGAAATTTGTCCTTGCCTAAAATTACTCTGCTCGTACTATGTACATTATAAACATGCAGACAGGGAATGGCACTGCCAGATGTAATGAAGGGAATAAGAGGACAAGAACAGGGGTGAAGGAGGGAAAGGCTTCCTAACACCCCTTTCACACATGCTAACAAAATATCATTTGCTGGAACAGTAAAAATTCATAGCACTTCAAGGTCGAGAAGGACTAGCCACAGCTGTGATGCATGTAGGAATACATGGAAAAAAAAACAGGAACAGGCACTGAGAAGTGAGAAGTCTGACTCAGACAGATAACCCGATACTGTAAAGCAGATGTGGGGTGAGAAAGAAATGCAGATCCACCATCATGGAGAGGTATGATATATAGTCAGCACCATATTGCACCGACGGAGCAATATAATGTCACTGAAGGAGGAAACATTTCTGTAGTGAAAGGAGATAAATGTCATGTCACTAGTATAAAAACGAGTGAGCTACACAGGGACTCAAGAGATTTCTCCCCCCACCCCAAGCTCCCCCAAAAACCAAAAGAAACACAACCAAGAACAACAGAAATGAGAAGCATGAGAGATCTCTGAACTAGAGGTGCTGCCTGCAGATAAGAATGAAAGGCCTTCCACTAAGAAATGAAACAACAACAGAACAACCAAACGTGGGAGAACGCTGCTCATAGGGAGACAGTTCTGACCAGGCTGGTGTATTTTATTATTTCTTTACTTATTTGCATCCTTTCCCTTCCAATATCAAGAATACAAGGGAGACTGTGCTCTACCCAGAGTTCTATTTTTGCATCTACTTTGTCTTTCAGTTCAGAAAGGACTGCAAGCTTTCAAATGCTGGAAATTCCTCTGGCTCTAGTCCTCGAAATAAAAATACCATGCCAATAGAAACACTGGAGGTCACCTCTTCATCTAGCTCAAGGAGAATGAAGAATTCAACAGAAAATATTCTAAAGTCTCTAGAGCGTTTTGGTGGCCAACGTAAGAGTAGCTATAATTCAAAACCACTGCAAGATGATGAGCCGTATGGGAATTATTTTCTGAACTATTAAAAACCTGTTCATTTGCATAATATGTAAGGACAGAAACAACAAATAGAAATTAACTCCTTACCACTGGAAACCAGAATTCTGATTTTCAACTGAAAGGATAAGATCAGGCATTTCCAAATTAAGACAAGTGCAGAGAATTTAGTGCTGTTTCCCCTTTCTGAGAAGCCACATTTCAGATGGCAAAGTAGAACAAATAAAATCCTTATTTATTTATTAAAGCCAATATTTTGACTCTTGTAAACTCAGGGAAGTGAGTATCTCACTGAAGTGTTTCCAGCTATACAAACACAGATCGATATCCTTGAACTGAAAAATACAGCATAAAGCCAAGGACTGTACAGAAACAGAGGCCACTTATTCAGGCATCATCACTTTCAGCGCACGCAAAAATTCCCAACAGAACAAACGCTTACAGTGCTCTCTTCTCTAGAAAGCAACTGGAAGAGGAAAAGTACTGGGGAACTCCATATTGACAACGTCCGTTTTCACTGTTTGTATTTTTCCTCAGTTTGTAAACAGAAGACTTGCTTCCTCTACTCTTTCCACTTGTAACCTGTTAAAGTTATCGCAGGCACCGACAGTCAAGATTATTTCTCTCGTATCACTATCATAAAATTTTAACTATAATTCTTTAAGCTCCACTAGCCCCTCAATTAAACTTACATGCTTCCAGCCTTCAGTTTTTAATAAGCATTTATTGCTTGTGGCCACAAAAGTAACCTGATTCACTCAGAAGACCAACAAGGAGGTGCGAAGCTTACCTCATTCAGAGTCTGCTGATGCAGACCAGTGCCCCATGCTCGCATGCTGAGGCTCTGTGGGAATGGAGAAAGAAGCAAATTTGGGAAAAGTGGTGACAGGAGCAACAGTTACAAGCAGCTGCAGGAAGAAATATTCTCCTTCCTATTGCTTTGGTTCTTTCTGTTGTTGGGGCTCTCCGAGATGGGAGGCACAGGAGGTATTACATCTCCTTTGCTCTTTTTCCTTGATGCTGTGCTTCATGTCCTTTTCTTGTGCTAAAGGTTAGAGCAAGGAGAACGTATTGTTACAGGGAATAAGAAGCCAGAGGTCTAAGGCAGTTGTGGATCCATTCATAACAGGCAGGAGACTAAGAATTATGAAGAAATGAATCATCTGGGACTTATGCTTTCCAGGTATTTTTCTTCCAGTTGTGAACGTTCATTGTAACTGCAGAGGAAACGGCTGCTACTAGGACAGACAGAAGAATCAATTTCTTTTTCATTTTGGGCATTTTATTTGAAACTAATCGAAAGACCAGAACCGCAGCATTTATAAAAGGTACCCAGAATAACAAAGAATCTTCTGTTGATTTCAAGTCACATGTTACTTACATACAGAAAGTATTTCATTTCAGTAGCTTATAGTCATAGTGATACTGATCAAAGGCACCTGCAACTGTCTTGGTTGCACATGCACTGTAGTAATTATGCATGCAAATGAGGAAATGAGACATTTTTGTGGTTGATCACCACTATAATTACTATAACTGAATATACGATCATGGTAACTGTACACACAAATTACACATGCATGCAGTTTTAAAAACCAAGCGTTGCATTCATTGTCTCTATTTTGATAATGTCCTATGGAAACGATCCTCCGCTGAAAATAATAAAAAGTGTTAACTTTTTAAAAGATGTATATTTATTCAACTGTCTACTGAACATTAAAAAAATATAACAATCCAGTAATTTTGTTTTCCAAGCTGATATATCAGCAAAATCTCACCGTCATAAGATTTACCAACTTGAAAAGAATAAGACATTTAAAGATAGTCTCTTATTCCTCCTCTTTATATGTATTTATTAACCTGTAACTTCAAAAAGATATTAAAGGATAGGTAATTATTTGAAAAAATAATGCATATGATCAAAATTTTTAAAAAGAGCTGAGCTACATTTCCATTAGCTCATCACAACTCTATCAGAGATAAGTGGAAATATTTTAAAAGTTTGGATTTTTATCAACCTAAACACTTAAATATACAGGATTTGATTATACTTCAGACCAGAAGAGTTGGTGCATTCAAACCCATACAAGGTATTTTTCTAAGGTACATAAACAACATGGAAAATATGCTTTCATCTCTCAAGCCCAGATTTTGATCCATCCATATTAACATAAGGAACAATTTTGCTAGGGCAAAAGCATTTATTATTAAGTATTTCAAAGAATATGACAGAAGTAATAAAATATTTAGATATTGCTGTATTCCGGCAGATCACGGCGTAGTCGTATTGCCTTCAGCTTCTCTACTTTGATTTTTGTTCGCAACAGTTCTTCTTCCAGTTGCTGCTTTCTTTTCAAACCATCCCTTTTTTCTTGGACATAAAGACCAATTTTTCTTTGATTTTCTAATATTATTTGATGCTCTTCTTTCAGCATTTGTAACATCTGTGGGTCATACCCACACATTGGTCTAAAGCGTTCTCCAACCTCAAGCCTAAAAAACTCATCTCTTCTTGGTACAGGAGAAGGAGACATCATCACTCTCATATCAACTGAAGACACTGATGTTGAAGGAGACCTTTCCATAATGTGCACCAGCTGGTGTTCTTCCTCTTGTTCTAAGTTCTCATTTTGCTGTGAGTCTATAATCAAAGAAGGAGGAGGTTTGACATCCTCTTCCGATTGCAACTCCATCATGACTGTCGCGGGATGGTGATCCAACATTGCCTGTGGTGAACTGGTACCAGCAATTGTTTCTTTATCGATACTAGCACTAGAACACACAAAATCATATTTAAATAATCCATTAAAAACTATTTTTAAAAGGCGTAGCTGTAAGTAACCAAAGCTTCATTTGAAATACTATTCTGCTATCTATGCCTGGGACTCTACTTCATTACATGAACACCACCTGTACCCCTCCTTCTTTCCACCACGCATATACAGCCCTGTCTTATTCAGATTCTATCGCTATAAAGGCAGTATAGCCAACAGAACTATCCTGGTAATCCCTTCTTCTGACACTGGAGAAGCAAGAAGGGCTGTTAGTGACAAATGGGTATAAAAACAAAGCAGCAGCAAGTGATGCAAGTGACAGAGGAAAGAGTTTATGTAATATATAATGTGATTTCAAAAGGGCATAAATTTAGACTGAGCGGACTGTGGCAGAAACATTTCCATCTCCCAAACTTACTCATCTCCTCCTGTTCTAATGTGTTCCCTGTTTCTGATTCATGCACCCAAGTATTTGTTTGGGTTTTTTAAATGTAAAACAATCACTGAATAAAATTACACAAAGAGCCTTGGGAGAAGAAACCAGAGCCCAAATGATGACCCTGCCAGTAGATTAGGGAATCAAGCTAATCCTTGCTCCTTCTCTTTTAATTGGTGATCTCAATATTTTTCTGAAGCTTCAAGAGAAGACACAGAAATTTTTCCATTAAGAACAGCCTATACTTCTATGCATTTCTTTTCAGAAGTACAACGCCCGCTTGACTCATCTGTCTTTGTGTAAACCCCTGAGTCAGCAGCACCTCAAATCATGATTTGACATTACATTGGCTTTGATGATAATAATGGCTCAAGCTCTTCCTGCCTACTTCTCTACCATCAGTTGTGTTTGAAACCCTACACTTCTGCATATCACTCCTTTATTCAGGTAATGTTTTTTAAGCCAGATCAGCTTCTTGATCTATTTAACAGTACAGATCTACAAAGAATACTTTCAGCATGAGTGGGAAAGCAATATAGTGTAACATGGGAACAGGAATATATTAACCTGGTACTGATACCGAAGACAGTGGATCATCATGGCCATGACTCTCTAAAACAGAGCCTGTAACTGGTGGTTGCAGATATGAGACATTCCCCAAACCGTGAAGAACTGAGCTGCTGCTTGCAGCTAAAGGCAGCGAGTGGATCCATGATTAATGTAACATTCATGGATGCTCCCCAACCCTGGAGGACCTGAATTGCCGTCTATTAAATTGGGGGGTGGGAGGTGTTTGTTTATACGTTTTAAACTCCTTGTGAGCCCTACAATCCACAAATTGAGAAACACTATCTGATTATTAAAACACTGTCCTGGTTAGCAGTAGAGGTGGGTTCAAATTCCCAGAAGCAAAGGAGAAATTTAATTTGTACATCCTACTTCTCGTGCAAATGCACTAACTCCTTAATCAAAAGGTGGCACGATCATCTCTTCTGCGTCTCCCATGGTCTTCAAAACTCTTGGTTTAAAAGAAATAGGCAGTCATGGTTGCAATTTCCAAAGGACCCTGATCTAGTTTGCCATCCATTAACATGAAAGTGCAATTTCTAGAATAAAAGCAAGAAAGCTTCTCAATACTCAATTATAAAAATGTTCAACAGGGTCAGAGCAATGTATTTTCCAAAAATTAATCCTGTCAATGACCCCAAACTATTTTAACTAAAGATTTAAATAAAAAAAAAAAAAAAAAGAGCCCCTTTTCCAAAAATTAATCCTGTCAATGACCCCAAACTATTTTAACTAAAGATTTTAAAAAAAAAAAAAAAAAGAAGAGTCCATCTGAGGCAGGTATTGAAAATAGACCTTCCATTTATTCCCCAAAGAAAATGCCAGGATAATCTTAATTCTATCGACTGTTACCTGAGCTGCCTATAGAGTATCAATCATATCACCTTACTCCCTCCTCCTCATGCCACAAAGCTTCACCTTTTCCTATATACCTCTTTCTCACATTCCTTTTCCTCCTCTCATTGAGCATCGGAAGTATTATCCTGCACACAAATTTTCACTTGTTTTCCCCAGTGCTGACTGTAATTCTGGGCTTCCCCCTCTTCACAACCGCAGCTTCTAATACAGCTTCCCTCCTTCTTATTCGCTGGCTCCTGGCCAGCTTCTAGCCTGAGAAAAGTGGAAACAACCAGCAGGAGAAGCAGGTCATTCTGACAAAAGGAAACAGAGAGAGAGCAGAAAGAGAAAGTGAGAGAGGTTAAAGAGAAGATAGGTAAGATTTAGTCTAACATAGACTAGAGCCTCCAAACAGTGAAAAATCCATCTCGAAGTGTAAACCACACAGAACTAGAAAGATTACCAAATCTTCAGGTAACTCTGACGAGGTTGTTTTTTTTTTTCTTAGAGTCAGTCTCTTAAGAGGAAAACAATTAGACAGCAAAGAGAGAAAGAAGGAATTGAGAAACAAAAGAGCCGCCTGTATGGTGGTTACTAATGTTGTTTCTGACAACTTGACTGAAAGAAAGACAAACAGTTACCACAATTGGGGGATGGTGTTTATAACCCTGCAGGCACCCATGATTCACCAGGTTTTGTTTAATCACAGTGAGCTAGAAATTGCTTAAAGGTGCGATTAAGATTCATTGTATTTCCATCCTACAAAACCTAAGCCATATCCTGGTGAGTTAAAACCCAATACAGGGTTTTGAAAATTAGGGTACAATGCAACTCAGAGTTAAAATTAGAACTATAAAATAATGTTGTATTTGGGCAGGGAAAAGAATCATCTAAATTATATTCTTCTCCTTCAGCACACAGTGTATTGGCTGTTCCTAGGAACAACCATTTTGGGTAAACAGTAATCAAGTCAATGTTCCCAGAGCCATAAGGGACTGCAAAAAATCTTTAAATTATAGGAGACAAACTATGGAGATCATTAGCTCTTAATCATTCACAAAAAGCGTCAGTGCTTTTTATAAGCTGATCTACAAACCAAAGTTCTCACACTATTTTTTTTTTCCTCCTTACAAAAGTTAGTAGTCAAGACACTGCAACCTTTATTAGCGCAATTAAAAGCCTTGTTTTGTTCCAGAGAATTCTTTGGAACGGTTCCTCCAGGGGCATTCACCAGGAGCAGCAGTGCAGCCCAGTTGCTTCAGACTTCTTTACGCAAAGGACCCACAACAGCATATTTTTAGAGCATCTGGCATGTTGGGATTTAGACAATTGTTACCATTCAGTTCAACCAGTGGCACCATGAATCCAATTCAGCGTGTGTGCGCATGCCAGCTTTTCTTAGAGTGTTATGCTGCTGCACCGACTATCAGTATATCTGATTAAAATACGGAAAGTTCGCTTCCCATTAATCTGCTTGGGAAAATAAGAAAAATCAGAGCTTTCTCAAGGTTGCTGGGGAGTTATTTGACCCTTTTTTCCCTCCTCCCTAGCTTAGTTTTTGTATCTGGAGGAACCAAAACCTGACCCAGGCATTTTTTGATCCCTCAAGGACCAATACAGAACCAGCAGAGTGTTGCAAGTCAGATATGAGGGGCATTAGCCAGCTGTGGGAGAAAGCCTGCATGCTGCCTGCCTGTATTATGTCTGGCTCAAATCTAGACAGTGTGTCTCACTTTACTGAGCAGTTAAAAAAAAAAAAAGGCTACAAAAAAATAAAACTTCTAGTGCTGTACCTCTCAGTTTCTCTCTGTATTTAAACTACCTAACATACGATATAGAACTGCTTGGAGTTTAGACTGCAATTAGATTTGCTCCAGTTTCAGGGAACCACCATCAATGCAAGAAAAGTATAATTTAAAAAAACATTTGCACTCACAAAGGCACTGTGGTGTGGGGAGTCAAATTTTTTTTTTAAAGGACTGGGATCAGTTAAAAACATAACATGCAAATACCAGAGTAAATGAGAGAAAAAAGGTGTATGAGTAAGGTTTCTTAGCTCTGTGAACTAACTTTATTAAAAATCTTCTATAAACTGGTAATAGTTCCATATGTTGCAAAATGACTGCAGTATTACCTTAAATGGAGGAGAATAGCCATCACTTTGCCAGCGTTTGAATAATCTGCCTATTAAAAGGTAGGGGAGGGGTAGAGGTTGGAGCTACTATTTCTCTTTGATTCTCTCTTAACCCTCACTTTCCAGAGTATGACAAAGACTCTGAAACAGGCTTTGAAAGAGAACTGAAAAAATGAACACAGTGCTAAGTCACCATAAAGCTTCCCATAAAACAAAAGCAATATTATTTTGTCATTGCTCCCCATTTGGGGATTTTATCTGATAAACATTTCCTTTAGGAGCCTGAACACAAGCAAAGCGTTACAGAGTAGATAGGAGGCGCCATCATTTTCATTCAGTAACAAAATAAAAAGAATCGTCTCACCTTTGAACACCGCTCCTGTCTCTTAAACACACATTGGAAATCTGTGGAATCATCTCCACAACTTTCTTGGTTGGCTCGGAAATGCTGCTTTTACAATCTGAGTGAGTCTCCTTTTGCTGCAATAGCTCCTGTTTGGCATATTCTTTGAGCCTCTTGTACAGCGTGCGCAGGCCCTGTGCAGTGCGAGGAGGGCGATCTACTCCGATGGCATTGTAGTTATCAGCTATAATATCCCAGCATTTGTTTTTTTCCACTATTACAGAATGCTTATTGGTATGTTCCTCGAGAATTTTAACGTACGGCTTCACGAGTTTTAGCAAATCGAGCTTTTCAGATAAGGTAAAATTAGAAGATCTGGCCTTCCCAACCATTGTTATCTTTGAATTAAGGAAGCCGTTTCTGAAGCCACCATGCAGTCCCTAGCTCTGCTCAGCTCTTTTTCACAAACAGAAAAAGATCAGGCTTAACTAGGCTAGTCTCATTTAGGCCCACGCCTACAAGGGAGGGTTTATTAAAATTCCTTCAGCTTAAGCTGACGCAGGTTCAGGAAATCTGCTTAAGCCAAGCCTGACCTACATAAGGCTTCAGACTGAAGAAGACGAGAAGAAACAAGCAAAATACACTTTTGTATGAAGAGACCAGACATACGCAGGATTTAAAAACATAAAGGTTTAAAGATTAGCACGTTACCCAGCTAAAAATTACCTAATTTAGCTTGAGTAACAAGCTCTGACACATCTCCCTAGTTCTCTCGCACGTATCTCAAACTGAAACCGCGCTCGAGGTGATTTTACGTGTAACGATGTCCCCCAAAAAAGCAACAATTGCTTTGTGAAACGCACTGAGCGTTACAGGGAGCGGGAGGCGAACGGCAACGGCGGCGGGCGAGGGCGGCGTGTGTAGAGAGCTCCCTGGCAGAGCCCCCGGCCGCCGCCGCGCTCCCCTGCGCCATTTGCATAATGCTGGTCCTGCTGTCAATCAGGGGCGGCATATCCTCCAGCCGGTTAGGTTACACTCAGGCGCGGGCTTCGCAGTAAAGCTGAGCTTCTCCTGCACTTGGCAGCCCGCTCCAGCTACCTACACAGGGGCTTCTTAAAGAGGCCGCTTCTCTCGGCGGCCCAGCCCCCCACCCGCGCGGGGACAGGAGGCGAACGCCAGCGAGCAAGCCCCGAACGCCGCCGCGCCAGCACTGAATCGGCTTTTTTTTTTTTTTTTTTGTAACTTCGGCCCGCAGCTGTGCCCTGCGAAAACACGCCTGCCTTTTAGCGCCTGTGTCATCGCCCGTCGGTCCGCCGGGACTGGGAAGTGGCATGAGCTAACGCTGGGGCTGCACGCAATAAAGCCTACAGTCAGTCGTGACAGATTGACTGAGCGCATCGTAGCGTGCGGATACCGGGATTTTCATAATATCCACCAGGAAACAACCCACTTATTATAATAATATTTCCAGGCATTCTTTCAGGGTAAAAAAATCTGATTTTTATTAACAAGATGTGCATGCTACGCACGTGCATTTCTAATGTTTGCTCGAAAATGTGTCACTTAAACCAAGTCTTCACATAAAAATGCACGCAAGGCTCTAAATTCCCATGGTCTAAACTAAATCAACAAATCGGAGAAAGAGAAAAACCTGCAGGTGTCAGGGAAGGTGCTCTCAAATACAAAAAGCAAAAACTAAGTTTGAAAAACGACGTACGCGACTGAAAGAGTCCGGAGGGTGGAAACAAACACCGTTTGAGATAGTGGCAACAGCTTCAAGCTTAACATGTTCAGCCTTGAAAACAAGGGAGCCTGGAAGGGGGGTGAAGGAAAGAAATCTAATTATAGTTTGAAGTATCTTAAGGCTACAAAGATCTAGGTATAAACTTGTTTGCTCTAAGGGGAAAAAACCCAAAGCAGACACAAGCCGTATTCAAAACAAGAAATTCAAACTAAACAAAGGGAGACTTTTAACTGCTAAAAATCAATTAGCATTTAGAATAACGAGCACGTTTGGAACCATTTCTAAGACTCAGTTCGTCTGTACCAGCTAACAAAATTGCGACCAGTCCACTTTGCTGGAATTGCTTTCAAGCCAAGATTAAATAAAGCATTTTTTAGTCTGAAGCCCATTACACTAGAATTTGAGAAACAAAACAGTCATGTGGTTAGAAGCACTGTATGAAAACCATCACTTTTAAACACCTAATCCTTCCCTATTTCCTCACACTTTGCTCTTTACTAATATTAAGAGTAGAAAGCTGGTGGTTATCTTTGTTTTTTAAAATTGATGCACTTGGTTATTCTTCAGTAACTGTCAAAAAAAAAAAAAGGAATATGCCTCAGGTACTTTAGGCCACTGGCAGTATCAGAATTGAGTCACAGGTGAGCCTATGTTGAACTGGTGAGCCTCTGATGTTGAAGCCGTTGTGCAGTGCCCAGTCTCTTGACTTTTTAGTGACAAAAAGAAAGAAGTCACTGTTAGGTTGTGTGACTGAAGGTGCCTCCCTGCAGACACAAAGAGCACAGATGAACAGTGTCAGGCAGAGGAACCCCAAAAAGCCAAATGAAAGAAACTGAGCCCTCAGTCCAGCTGCTCCCAGGGCTGTCAGAAACACGAGCAGCCCAGTGGGCCGGGGGTGAGACCCAGGCCGATGAGTCCACAGGAGAGGCTCTCTGTAGATCACCTTGCAGACTGAAGGAGGGGGGTTACTGCCCACTGGGATATGGGACTCATGATGAGATGCCAAGAAGAGTATTTTGGGATTGCAGAAGGCATAGTACAGGATATTTAGAGGAAGAACCAAAGGCAAGAAAAGGGAGAGATGAAAGTGGTTTGGGACAGAACAAGCATAGGAAAATACTGGGGAAAAACCGGGTAAAAGAGGCCAGGTGCATGTGAACAGATGGCTGCTCAGTATGGTTGTCCAGCCATGCCCTGCGCCTTATCACTGCAGTTTGTCCTATCTTCTTGTTAAACTACACTTGTAACTATTTTCCTGGGTGAAGGGACTCTCTACTCTGCGTGCATGACTGCATGGATGTGTACATGCCAGCAACTGGAGTTGTACCACGGGTCACAGAGGCCCAGGTGCTTGGGGCGCCAGCAAGCAGAGAGGCCAGAGCCCATGCATGCTGCCTGGGTACCTATGTCAGTGTGCAATTGCTGGCAAACACCAAGCCGGACTAGCCAGCAAGTTGGCTAAGACGCTTGGGAGCCAAGAATTGGAGCAACCGTGAGTCTGGGCCAGATACTGGAGACACCACAAGGTCTGAGATTTGGCTACTGGAGGGACGAGGATACCTGGGGACTGGCCACTGGTAAGGTCATAAATCCGGACCAGCTGCCAGGGAGACCCAGTGCAGGTTTGTGGGGCAACTGGGAGACCAGGGGATCCAGGGACCAGCTACTGAGCAGAATAAGAGTCTAAGGCCACTTGCTGGAGGGATCCATATTGTATACGTATGTATTTTCCACAAACAGGCTGCCATCCTAGTCAGCCAGTGAAGGGAAAGAATGAGGCCATTGATGCTGCTTGTGTGTGCATGAGTGCTTGCGTTTTCCGTATGGCTGGCCGTATATATACATACAGAGTGTATACGTGTGCATGTGCCTCTTGGGAATACATCCTCAGCCTCACTGCGGGCTGGACCTGGCCGCAAGGAGCTGCAGCAGCCTTCCTCTATACTGGGCTACCAGATGCAGCAACTCCTAATGTAGACCTATTTAGACTTGTATTACTTTATCACCTTACTGCTTAATGTTGCTAGAGAGGCCAAGTTTCCAGACTAATGCAATTACAGCAAAATACCGCTACAAAGATTTCTTTTGAGCAAGTGCCTGAAGGAATCAGTCTGAATTACATATTGTTCTGCAGGAGTGTAAAATAACCCTTGTAAAAATGAAGCTGGCTGCCAACCAAGATATTTTCCCTTTTTTTTTTTCCCTTTTTAAAATAGCTCTGCTCATCAACCTAAGGTCATATCAGTACCTGGATGAGAAATCACAGAAGGTGAGAAGCCTGGATATTAATGTTACATATAGACTTCTTTGAGCTAAAACAATAGGTGTAGTTCCAAGACGATTACAAAAAAAGAAATGTTGCCACAGTCCACCCTTCATCCTACGCCTTCCACCAACACTAGCACTTATGCAACACAGTGCACAGCCAGTTCAGGGAGATGATCCAGCTACAGACTAATCAATTTTTTTATTTTTTTGGGGCAAGCACAGAGTTTAATAATTAACATCAACATAAATGTGGGACATTGCCAAAACAGGAATTTCTGCCTCCCCCCAACCCTGTCATGTACCTGCCCCTTTACTGTGCTGATATAAGCACTCACAAATCTTCTGAGCAAGTCAGATCAGGGAACTGATTTGTCTGCAAATTAATCATTTTTTCTGAGCTGAGTTAGTTCTAACCACCAGCAGTTCCCTGATCCAGTATGCCACAGGACAAATAACTTGCACAAAAGAAATCCATTGAAAAAGTTTCTTCAGCCTCTATCTGGATCATTTTAAGAATATGGCTTGCAATGCACCCTACAAAAACTAGTATTAGCATAACTGAGGGGACAGCAAACCACAGGGAGGAGATTCTGGCCACTGCTGAAGAACAGTCATACATGCACCCATCACATCACTTCACTGCCTTCTATACCTCCTGTTTTAATCCTATGCGCAAGGCAGAGCTCATTTTTCCTTCATATTTTCAAGGCGGAATTCACTAATCTACTCAGAATTCTGGAAAGAAAAAAGTCTTGGATTCAGCTTTTTTTTTTTTCATTTGCTTCTTTCCTTTAAAAAAAACCCAGATGTTTCCCAATTTAAATGTTAATAATTAAAAACCCAGTTTTCAAGTGGATGAAATCTTCGTATTCGGAAGTTCATGAAAAATGGGAGCTGTGAGAGTAGATCAGAGTATTCTTCTAGGGAAAGGAAAATTAGCATGACTATTAAAAAAACAAGCAACAGCCCCTTGCTAAGGTTGGAGAACTTCAACAGTTGGGAAATAAGACTCAAAACTACAGCTAACAGGTAAGTTCAGGTTTTTGCTGTGGAAAAGTCTGGAATTAATACCAAAAAAATGATACAAATACTGCATCCTGGAGAGCTATCAAGAGATGAATGAATCACAGCTATAATACAGTAGCCAAATGACTATGAATTGCTGAAAAAGCTCAATGGGCCCAAATTTTACAAGTGACAGATTTGTATCATGGCCAATAACTGCATCAAGTGGCCCATGTAAATTTAGGCACATTATGAGACAAAACACCCTGTAAAGGAGAATGTCTTAAATCAGGGGAGCATATCTTGGATGGAGAGGAAGGATCCTTTGTCACAGAGAACTGAGGAAGAATCCCTCCATGACAGACTTAAAAAAAAAAAAAAAAAAAAAATCACTATAAGGTACATGATTCAAAGACAAAAAACATCTACAGTAATTAAGGAT